GGAGGAAGGCTAGGGAAACACAAAGATATCTTGCCTAAGATCAAGCATTTATATCCCAGCATCCAGAAGACTAGCACCTAGGACAAAGTGGTGGCTGCACGTGGCTGTACACAAGAGTGATCTGCCCCAGCAGATTCGCCATCTCCCTCTTGTGCCATCGTACACCCACTCTGAAATCCCAGGAATTCTGGGGACTTCACACTCTCCCTCTAATGTCTAACCTGAGGAGTGGCCCTAGGGTGGGATGTGGGCTGATCTGAGAGCTCTGATCTGTGCTCCCCCAACCAAAGCAGACATTGAGACAATCTTTCATCAGCTTGAGGAGGCTTGCAAGCAAGAATTGCAGCTGCTCAGGTCAGAGGTTCAACAAGTCACAGACTGGGTCTCTTCTGAAGAGACCTTGCCAGCTGAACTGGAACAGAGAGCAGAAGCTCTAGGACACAGTCAAGCCTCCTAAACAGATTGGCTCACAGATATGCAGATGTAACTAGAGGACTTGGAGGGCCAGGGCAGACCTAACAACTTATGGCTCCAGGGCCTCCTTGAAGCCACGACACTGCCATAATCATCCTCCACAAGAAATTGGATGTTGCCCCCCCCCCCCCCCAGTGAACATTGAGCTGGGCCAGGTGCATCATGCCTTGGGTTCTAGATCCCCAAGAATCTATCCTATGAAAGGCATGATATTTGGGGTCCGTGAACTTTGATGGAGCCAAGATCAAGATTCTCTCGGACCTCTCCAAAGCCACCCTGCAAAGGACAGCCCTATTGTGGCCATTGCTGGATAGGTTCTGCCAAATGGAGCTCCCTTACCAGTGGGGGTTCCCATTCCACCTGATCATTTGGAAGAATAAAGCCTTGTACACACAGGCAACGAAAATCTGGCAATGAGGGGGGGGGGGGGGGGGGGCCCCTGCTAGAATACAAAAGCACAGCAGGGGAAATCACACTAACATGGCTTGTGTTAGTACAGATATCTTCCAGTTCTTTTTTCTCATTCAGCCCACTGGGTTGAATGAGAAAACATTTCTAGTGTGTACCAGGATAGTACTTCTTTTTCTCAACAGCGACATGCTAATCTATCCGACCTTTTTTACCTTTCTAGAGATCTAACCATTTCAGGTGTAACAAGGCTTAAAAAACACTAAACACTGGTGTCCTTGGGGCCTAGTGAGGGTATAATAAGAGGATAATAGAGGATAATTATAGTTATGTGGGAAAGGTCCCACAAAAAAAGGGGTCCCAAAAAAAAGGAGTCCAATTGCGGTTATGGACCAGAATTAGCAAAAGTTATTTTATTAATTATACACAGATAGTATAAAAATATATATGAAATCACACACTGCAAAAAGACACTTTCACCCTACACAATAAAATATTGACAAAGTTGTTAAATGATAAAATCAAAGCCCGGGCTTACAGGCATATAAATCACCAAAGCTGAATAGTGCAAAATGCAATAAGCAAAATTAAATATTACGACGGCAACAATATAGCAATATAAATCCGCCGACAAACAGCAAAATAAGAACCTCCTATGCCGTGAAGGAGACCCCACAAGGCTGCAACAGCAATAAACATTTATGTAATAACGCTATGAATGCAGGTCACAGCAGACTGTTAATGGATCTACTAATGTATTGATCTTTCCCACATAACTACATAGTATTATATCAAACCATTTCCAGCTCATCCGGAACTGCTGCCACAAGCAACCAAATCCTGGGGTGGCCATAGAACCCCAGCTCCTGCAGATACTCATGAATCCTGATTCTAACCCTGATGTTTCATGAGGTATGCCCTTGTTGGGACCTTACCCTCATTTGAACTCTCAAGGCTGCTTTGATCTAAGAGCTAATGGAAGTTGATATATGCCTGTACCCTGTTCACTGGAGTCTCAGCTATACCGGGACTCCCTCTCCTCATTGGCTGAGACAGAAGTGGGAGTCATCAGCTCCCACTGCTGTCAATCACAGCCAGTGAGCCAATGAGAAGAGAGGGGGTGGGGCCGAGCCACAGCTCCACCTGTGAATGGACACACGGAGCAGCGGGTGCCCCCATAGCAAGCTGCTTAATGTGGGGGTCCCCAACAGGAGGGAGGGGCCAGGAGCACCAGTGGGGAACCCGAGAAGACAGGAGGATCCAGGTTGCTCTGTACAAAACCACTGCACACAGCAGGTAAGTATATATTTTTTTTTTTTTTTTTACAAATAAGCCTTTAGATCCACTTTAAGCACAATATTGGAGCAACAATACAATGCCAGTAGCACTAATGCAGTGCCAATTAATTGATGTTTAATGTTGCAGGTTCTATATTGGTTTAGTCTTTTAAGGGGAGCTTCCACCAGTTCTACCACCCATCTCATGTAATGATGTTTTGTTTCCCCTTTGTCAGGACCTGCAAAGTGACTGGATGTGGACCCTTAAATTACAGCGTATGGGTTAAGCTGAAGACACTGGCAGAGGTCTGAGCTGTCCCTGAACCTTTGTTAGTACCCATTCAAATGCAATATACTTGAATACTATGAATAATATACAGAATAAAAAAGAATGGAATGCTCCCAACAGTATAAAATCCCAGCATTCCCTTCTTTTTTATTCTGTATGTCAATCTGAGTATGGGTGAGAGAAGTGCTGTGAGGAAATCTGGTTGACATCAGATTTTGCAGGGAATCACTCTGAGACAGAGGTGCAGCTATATCCCAATCCATACTCATAGAATTGGAGCATCTTAAGGTTCCTTACAAGATAATGTGGACCCATTGGTTTCAGTGTTTGTATTATCACTCTAATTCAGGGAGTCAACAAACTCTGGCAAGAGCATGTATAATCACAAGGGTGTGGTGGGAGTTGATGGTCACCTGTATTTTGGATCAGAAACACTATAAAAGCACTTTATGGAAGATTTATGGACTGTGTGATTGTTTTTTACACTATGATGTGTACTGTATTTCTATTGAGCTGACCTTTTTGGGATTTTGCACGTTATGTGTCACAAATTGTAGAATTACTTCTTTATTGGAGCTGAAATACATTTTTTTCTCTCACAGGCATGTTAACATTTACATGTAATATATGCTGTAAACACTTTTAGCACTACCCCCTTAGGAGTTGCTGAAGTTTTATGTCCCCCCTATAGTCCTGCACAGCCATTTAGCACTCATTTCCACATAGACTTGCATTCGGGAGTCAGTGACCAGTCCTTGAGCTTGTTTTGAAGTTTTATTAGGGGATTTAGAACTTCGATGGGGTAAGGGGTGTATGGATGCCCAATGGAACAGAGAAACCAAGGACAACGTCTTGAACTATGTACAAGTGGTTACACCAAACAGTCTCTTCTGGAGAGCTAGCCAGCGTCTCCTGTAGTACCATCTCAGACCCCAAATGCTCCTCTATCTGGCTGCCTGGAGAAATCCCTTGACAGGGGATCCAAATGTCTGCCACATAAAAAGGGTGAAACAGTCCTGGGTGGCAAGCAGATCCAGTTTCTCACTCCTTTCTGTATCTGGCCCAGAGGTTGCAGGTCTACTCACTCAGTCCTTCTCCTGTGTTACTGTTGGGTCGGTGTCAGGGCTCCCAGGTATGACCAGAGGTGTGTGACTGACGCAGGGAAACGCAGACTTCAGATATGTGATAAACAATATAATTTATTAACACTAACAAACAAACATAAACGCAGTGCAATACTAAACATAATACAGTGCAACCAAACCCAACCAACCACCCACAGATAACAGTACATACAAGCAAGCGTCGTCAGGCAGGCCGGGTCAATATCAATTGGGCAGGTAGGTACAGGGGGAGCAAGCGGAGAATGGTCGGGGTCACAGGCCAGGTTCAGCAGGTAGCAAGCAGCGTAGTACAGAGGGTCAGGCAGAGGGATGGTCAGGGTCACAAGCCAGGGATCAGAACAGGTAGCAAGCAGCGTAGTACAGAGGGTCAGGCAGAGGGATGGTCAGGAGTGAGCCGGGATCAGAGCAGGAGAAGTCAGCAGCAGTTCAGATCAGGCAGGGTCAGCAAAGGAACAGAAACAGGGTGCAGGACAGATACAGGACCCAGGACAAACACAACACCAAGGCAGAGTCTGTGGGTCTGGCCAACCCTTAAATACCCCAGCATAATCAGTTCCAGGTGTTAGCTGGCTGCAAAGTTGAGTCTCTGATTGCTGGGAGCACCCGCTGGCCAGCCCTGGTACTGCAGCTCATAAGGCAGCTGAGTCAAACTATTGCTGGCCAGTCCATTCCCGACAGTACCCCCCCCCTCAAGGAGCGGCCTCAGGATGCTCCAAACAGTCCTAGCTGGGCAAAATGTTCCACCGCCCGGGTCTGGTAACTGGCGGGATATCAAAGACTGGCACACCGGGCAGGACTCCGGGCAGCGGCACACCGGGCAGGACTCCGGGCAGAGGCACATCGGGCTGGACTCCGGGCAGAGGCACATCGGGCAGGACTCCGGGCAGAGGCACACCGGGCAGAGGCACATCGGGCAGAGGCACACCAGGCAGAGGCACACCGGGAAGAGGCACATCGGGCAGAGGCACACCAGGCAGAGGCACATCGGGCTAAACTCCAGGCAGAGGCACATCGGGCTGGACTCCGGGCAGAGGCACATCGGGCAGGACTCCGGGCAGAGGCACATCGGGCAGGACTCCGGGCAGAGGCACATCGGGCAGGACTCCGGGCAGAGGCACATCGGGCAGGACTCCGGGCAGAGGCACATCGGATTACCAGGCGAAGCAGCAGGCAGCGGGCCACCAGGTGGAGCAGCAGGCACCGGGCCCCCGGACGGAGCAGCAGGCACCGGGCCCCCGGGCGGGGCAGCAGGCACCAGGCCCCTGGGCAAAGCAGCAGGCACCGGGCCCCGGGCGGAGCAGCAGGCAACGGGCCCCCGGGCGGAGCAGCAGGCAGCGGGCCCCCGGGCGGAGCAGCAGGCACCGGGCCCCCGGGCGGAGCGAGCAGGCAACGGGCCCCCGGGCGGAGCAGCAGGCAGCGGGCCCCCGGGCGGAGCAGCAGGCATCGGGCCCCCAGGCGGAGCGGCGGGCGCCGGACCCCCAGATGGAGCGACAGGTCTCGGGCCCTCAGGCGGATCGGCGGGCGCCGGACCCCCAGGTGGAGCGACAGGTCTCGGGCCCTCAGGCGGAGCGGCGGGCGCCGGACCCCCAGGTGGAGCGACAGGTCTCCCTCAGGCGGAGCGGCGGGCGCCGGACCCCCAGGTGGAGCGACAGGTCTCGGGCCCTCAGGCGGAGCGGCGGGCGCCGGACCCCCAGGTGGAGCGACGGGTCTCGGGCCCTCAGGCGGAGCGACAGGTCTCAGGCCCCCAGGCGGGGCGGCGGGCGCCGGACCCCCAGGTGGAGCGACAGTTATCGGGCCCCCAGGCGGGGCGACAGGCATCAGGCCCCCAGGCGGGGCGACAGGCATCGGGCCCCCAGGCGGGGCGACAGGCATCGGGCCCCCCGGCGGGGCGACAGGCAGCGGGCCCCCGGGCGGAGCAGCAGGCATCGGGCCCCCAGGCGGAGCGGCGGGCGCCGGACCCCCAGATGGAGCGACAGGTCTCGGGCCCTCAGGCGGATCGGCGGGCGCCGGACCCCCAGGTGGAGCGACAGGTCTCGGGCCCTCAGGCGGAGCGGGCGGGCGCCGGACCCCCAGGTGGAGCGACAGGTCTCGGGCCCTCAGGCGGAGCGGCGGGCGCCGGACCCCCCAGGTGGAGCGACGGGTCTCGGGCCCTCAGGCGGAGCGACAGGTCTCAGGCCCCCAGGCGGGGCGGCGGGCGCCGGACCCCCAGGTGGAGCGACAGTTATCGGGCCCCCAGGCGGGGCGACAGGCATCAGGCCCCCAGGCGGGGCGACAGGCATCGGGCCCCCAGGCGGGGTGACAGGCATCGGGCCCCCAGGCGGGGCGACAGGCATCGGGCCCCGGGCGGGGCGACAGGCATCGGGCCCCGGGTCCCCGGCGGGGCGACCGGCATCGGGCCCCCAGGCGGGGCGACAGGCATCAGGCTGAGTACAGGCATCAGGCTGAGTAGAGGATTCAGGCTGAGTAGAGGCTTCAGGCTGAACCACGGAAGGCAGGTTCACCGGTTTGGATACTGGCAGGATGGTATTGGTTGGAAAGAATTTTCGCTTTTTTCTGGTTTTAACTACTGGAGCACTGCAAGTAAACGCAGGTCTGCAAACGAATGGAGCAGCTGGAGACAGAGAAGAACTGGAGGATGGAACAGGAGAGGGAGCAGTTGCTACAGAGGGCTTTTTTACAGGGTTAAAGGCAGGATAGGTGCAGCGAGTGGGAACAGGGTACTGACATGCGGTAGATAGCCAAGTATACTGGGCTGTAACTGGAGGAGCTGTTGGGAATACAGGAGTAGAGTTAGAAGCAGGACTGGGTTTTTGTAAGCTGACTGGGGCTGGGTGCAACAAGTCTGTCCATGTCTGCAGTATGGGTTGAACAAAGCTGAGCTTACACAAAGCCTGTCTGGTCAATGACTGCACTGCGTTTATACAATCTCTTAGTGTCTGTGGTGAACATGTGGAATAACGCTCCAGAAAGTAACCCACATCATCCTCTAATAACCATACCAGGGACTCTACCTGGTCTGCACTAAATGGTGGCAAAAATTCATCCCTGCATTCGGGGGTACCAGATGAAACCAACTCTGCACAAACCTCAATCAAAGGCTGCACCTCAGAGAACTCTGTGCCCTGATCTACTAGAACATGAGCGAGCCGTATACATTCTAGCAGTTCATCCCGGGTATACTCCTTCAGAGTTTGATAAGCATACTCCCTGTCATCAAACACTAGCAGATATAAATACGCAACCTCATCCAGATCCATCCTTCCCAGCAACAAGCCAAGATGGCTTCCCTGTGCAGCCACTTCTGGTCAGGATTGGCCTTGGTGTAATGTCAGGGCTCCCAGGTATGACCAGAGGTGTGTGACTGACGCAGGGAAACGCAGACTTCAGATATGTGATAAACAATATAATTTATTAACACTAACAATACAAACATAAACGCAGTGCAATACTAAACATAATACAGTGCAACCAAACCCAACCAACCACCCACAGATAACAGTACATACAAGCAAGCGTCGTCAGGCAGGCCGGGTCAATATCAATTGGGCAGGTAGGTACAGGGGGAGCAAGTGGAGAATGGTCGGGGTCACAGGCCAGGTTCAGCAGGTAGCAAGCAGCGTAGTACAGAGGGTCAGGCAGAGGGATGGTCAGGGTCACAAGCCAGGGATCAGAACAGGTAGCAAGCAGCGTAGTACAGAGGGTCAGGCAGAGGGATGGTCAGGAGCGAGCCGGGATCAGAGCAGAAGAAGTCAGCAGCAGTTCAGATCAGGCAGGGTCAGCAAAGGAACAGAAACAGGATGCAGGACAGATACAGGGCCCAGGACAAACACAACACCAAGGCAGAGTCTGTGGGTCTGGCCAACCCTTAAATACCCCAGCATAATCAGTTCCAGGTGTTAGCTGGCTGCAAAGTTGAGTCTCTGATTGCTGGGAGCACCCGCTGGCCAGCCCTGGTACTGCAGCTCATAAGGCAGCTGAGTCCCACTATTGCTGGCCAGTCCATTCCTGACAGTCGGTGGCTGCTACAAGGCCTTCTAGCTGGCCTTTCCTGCCACACAGGTGGTCCTCTCAGAAGGATGGTGAAGTTCCCAGCATTCAGCTTTCCCAGATCCTTCTGCCTGGAGGTGAGTCCCTCTCCTATCTGAGCCCCCTCCCAGGTTCCTGCTCTTCAGCCTTATATCTTCCTCTTCCACTCGAACTCTCCTGCAGCTGAGCAGGCTCTGACACTTTTAAGGGCAATCCTGACTCCATGCCAAGTCTCCCCATTGGGGATTGGTCAGGATCTCTCAAGAGTTCAGACCAGCCATTCCTCAGGGCAGGGGGAAGTCTCAGAGAGCTGACTTGCAGAGCCTCTCAGCTCTGATCCAAATTTAACCTACCTCTGACTGTTGCACCTGGGCTGTTACTCAGCCCCTAACTAACAATTTGAGTCTAGCTCCCCCTAGCTACCTAGGAGGGTGCTACACACTCATTTATTTGTATATAAGTATTTGAATATTTTATGACCTTGCATATATTGTTTTTCACATTTTTTGGGGAAGTTTATGATTTTGGATACTTTTTATGTCATCTAGCACCACCCTGTTACCTGTTACCTGTTACCTGTTATAGATCGCAAGTTATGTACTAAGATACTTGCTATAAGAATGATTTCGTATGTTTCTGACATTGATCACTTGAACCAGATCTGATTTGTGTCCACCAAAAAGCAAGGGACAATACAAAAAGGCTCTTGCTATTATTCATGCTGCTCATTCCAGAAAGCTCCCTTTACTGCTCTTATCTACTGATGCTGAAACGGCTTTTGATAGGTTAAGCCAGGCTTTTCTTGAAGGAACACTAAGCTACTTATGCCTTTGATAAAGTATGATGTACTAGATCAGGGGTCTCCAAACTTTTTAAACAAAGGACCAGTTTACTCTCCTTCAGGATTTAGGGGGGCGTACTGTGACCAGTGTGGGTAGAAAATGTCTCGGCATCAGTGGGGTAAACATGGCTCCATCATTGGTTTTAACAGGAGGAATAGCGCCCCATTGTTGGCATCAATGGAAGGAATAGTGCCTCATCGACGGTGTCAGTGCAAGGAGTAGTGCCCCATCATTGGTCTTAGAAGGAGGAGTAGTACTCCATTGTTGGTTTTAGTAGGAGGAATAGTGCCCCAGAATCAAATGATATCGCATTGCACCAAAGAGTGCACACACTTTTTTTGGAGCTCCACTGGAACACCGCATCACATGTTTGTTTTTGTACCATATGATCCAGTGTGGGCAAATCGCACTCCAATTACAATGCATTTAGGGTGTTAACTTTGTATTGACACCCTCAGCAGATCACAAACATAGTGCGATTGCAATGTGGTGCAGAAAACACACAGGGATCGCTGTGTTTCACGCACCACACAAAGTGTGAACCTAGGCTTACAGCATTACTTCAGTTCCACTTTAATTGGCAGTCCCTGAAAAATGTATTAGTTGCTTAGCTCTATGTGTGGAGGTTGTGAAAGGCATGCTTTCTGTCTCATTTGTTTGAGAAGGTATTATACACAGAAATCAGGGTGGCATCTATTAATGCAGGCAGCTGCTACTGTATTCATTTACAGTATAATGCACAACCTAACTTGTATAACAAGGTCAGGTGGGGAGGTACGGTTTTGATGAAGTTTTTTTAATGTACCAAACATGCACCAAAAACTGCAGCAAGTGGGACTTAGAAAACTGCAACAGACCCGCAACTGACCAGTGTGAACAGTTATTATTATTATTATACAGTATTTATATAGCGCCAAAGGGTATGCTCAGCGCTGTACAGTAGCAAGGGGGACAGAACATGAGACAAGACAGTAACAATACAATACACGAGGGGTTCGAGGGCCCTGCTCTTTTGAGCTTACAATCTAGGAGGGAGGGGAAGGTGGTACAGGAGGAGATGGCTGTGGGGAATGGAGTGGTGGGAGGAGTGGAGGAGTTCCATAGGATTTATTAGTCATGCATTTTTCTTTCGGTGTGAAAGTTTGAAAGCAGCCATATTCCCAAGCATGTACAGGCTTGTATGAAAATGGCTGCACAATCCTAAGCTGGTGTATATCCAGGGTAAAAAATAGCACATTTCACAGTGTATTACAGAGCTATAAATGATTTTTAAACTGGAGCATACATGATTTTTTGCTGGAGCTTTAGAACATTTTTTGACTAAAGCTAAATGATTTTTTAGACTGTTCTGCCTCCCCGAACTAAGCAATGCAAGTGTGATCTCTATAACTGATCCAGTTGGGGCAAGATACACTATATTGCCAAAAGTATTGGGATGCCTGCCTTTACAAGCACATGAACTTTAATGGCATCCCAGTCTTAGTCCGTAATGTTCAATATTGAGTTGGCCCGCCCTTTACAGCTATAACAGCTTCAACTCTTCTGGGAAGGCTGTCCACAAGGTTTAGGAGGGTGTCTATGGGAATGTTTGGCCATTCTTCCAGAAGCGCATTTGTGAGGTCAGGCACTGATGTTGGACAAGAAGGCCTGGCTCATAGTCTCTACTCTAATTCATCCCAAAGGTGTTCTATTGGGTTTAGATCAGGACTCTGCGTAGGCCAGTCAAGTTCCTCCACCCCAAACTTGCTCATCCATGTCTTTATGGACCTTGCTTTGTGCACTGGTGTGCAGTCATGTTGGAACAGGAAGGGGCCATCCCCCAAACTGTTCCCACAAAGTTGGGAGCATGATATTGTTCCCTTCACTGGAACTAAGGGGCCAAGCCCAACCCCTGAAAAACAACCCCACACCATAATCCCCCTCCACCAAATTTTACACCTAGCACAATGCAGTCAGGCAAGTACCGTTCTCCTGGCAACTGCCAAACCCAGACACATCCATCGAAATGCCAGACAGAGAAGCGTGATTTGTGATTCCAGAGAACATGCCTCCACTGCTCTAGAGTCCAGTGGTGGCGTGCTTTACACCACTGCCTCCGATGCTTTGCATTGCACTTGGTGATGTAAGGCTTGAATGCAGCTGCTCGGCCATGGAGACCCATTCCATGAAGCTCTCTACGCACTGTTGTTGTGCTAATCTGAAAGCCACACAAAGTTTGGAGGTCTTTGGCTATTGACTCTGCAGACAGTTGACAACTTCTGCACACTGTGAGCTTCAGCATGCGCTGAAGGGGTCTGTCATTTTACGTGGCCTAACACTTCGTGGATGAGTTGCTGTTGTTCCCAGTTGCTTTCACTTAGTTACAATATCGCTAACAGTTGACTGTGGAATATTTAGTGTCAAGGAAATTTCACGGATGGACTTATTGCACAGGTGGCAACCTATCACGG